CACACACACACACACACACACTCACTCGCCTTTTCTGACTAGCAGGTGTCTCTCTTCAACACACTGATCACATCTATGTACAACAGCCTCAGGGTGACTGTTGGTTTTGAATGTTTTGGATCCGCTGTGGTGATTATGCGACTCTATAGACAGTCATGCGGTAGTAGCTCTGACTGTGGCTGCGATCCGCCCACACCAGCAGCGCAGCGGCCATCATGTGCAGAGGAGACGCGATGAGCGCTAAATACAGTGACCAGCCCAGCGCACCCTCCACGTGATCCGGCAACACAGACACACGGTGCAGCAGATCCATCTCGGCCAGAAAACAGCACACGGTTGCCAGAGAACACAGGCCTGAAGAGAGAGAGAGAAGAGCACAGGTCCAGCACAAGTCTGCTCAGAACAGAACCCCTGCAACGTCGCGTCTCTGACCTGCGAGCAGATGCAGCAGACCGATGAAGAGCGTCGGGCTCAGACTGCCACACAGACATGCACAGAAGCCCAGCAAACCACCAAGCACCACCAGACCCAGAGAGACCAGCGGCAGCAGGAGCTGACAGCGCCACAGATCTGCACAGAGGTTCAGAATGAGTGCGAGGAGCAGCCAAAGGATGAAGCACATTACACCAAGAAAAACTGATATGAGTGTGTGGGCATGAGGCAGGATTTGTGTAAATGTGAATTATGAAATAAATAGTTCAGACTGCATGAGCTGCCGTTGAAGCCAAATGATGACTATAAAAGCACTAGTGGTCAGCTGATATATCACTGATATTTACATTGTTTCATTATTGTGCGAGTTCTACTGTTTGGCTTTCAGAAGTGACTCTTATTGTGAAGCTCAGCAGGTTTCAGACGCACACTAATCTTCAAAAACTGCTGAGGGTGTTTGTTATACTCACTTAAATGGTAGAAGTGGCTAGACTGTTTCTCTTCCCCAAACAGTGAGGTCAAAATATACATTTAATGCATGATCTACAAAAAAGCTGATCGTGATTAAACCAGAAAAATAAAGCTGACCTGATTACAGGAAATGCAGCAGTGTTTAGAAGCAGCCAGAAAATAAAATGCCAAATGATATAAATCCATTAACTGTGTTAAAAACACAGACACAAACAAAGACAAAGCATTCACATTTGATCTGTTCTCATGTGGAGTTTCTTCACCAGTGAGCACTGTTTATATTATTAGCATATTTCTTTTTCTACTGCCTGTCATTTTATTACTGACTGTTTGCTTGTCTT